ATTTATGATTCACAAATACTGCAAGGTTTCTTTTAAAATTTTAACACCTTTTTTCATTTATTTGATTTATTGTAATTAATAATATAATGAATACAATAAATTTATATAATCTAATCATATAAATTGTTGATAGTTGGTACCTAATACTTCACAAATTTAGAAGAAACTTTTAGTGAAATAAATATGCTAATATAATGCATGAATTGCTTTCAATATTGTTGTAATCATTGTAGAATATAACATAAATATGCATTTAATAATAAATATCCAAGTGCAATAGCCAATAAATACATAATAGCTAAATATTATAAAAAATATTATTTTTTTTTACTTCAATAAAATTTCTGTTTCTGATTTTTTTTTAAATATGTGAAATGTTATAATTTTATAACCAGAACATTAATTTAAGATTATTTTTTAATTTTGTATTATTGTTTTAGGGTTCTAAAACTTTAGTGTTGACAGATATAAGTCGAACAAAATTGTGGTCATCAAGTGTGGTACGTTGTATGTCATGGCACCCGCAAATAACTAAAGTTGCGATTGCTTCTTCTCATGATATTGTTCATGTATATAATCGAAAAGGTTCTGAAGCGAAAATAAAAAATAAATCTCAAAGCGCAATTTTATCATTAGCTTGGAGGTACTTATAAACCTTTATTTTTTTTTTTTACCGTGTTATGTTTAATTTTTCWCTTTTTAGACCTTTGAGTATTGGTACTTTAGCAGTGGGATGTGAAAAAGGTATTTTCATCTGGACAATTGAGTTTAGTGACATACATTTAAGACCAACTGTAAATAATGTTAGCAAATTTATCAGAGATGATCATAGATATATTACTGGGTTATCATGGAATAAAATGGTAATTTTTATAAAAACGATTATATACCATATAATGGCCTATTAAATATCCAATGTCTATGTTTTGATTAACCGACAACTTACAATATTTTTTCTGGATTCAAAAATTTATATATATTTATATTTAAAATGCAATTATATTATCAAGACATTGTCTATTATTATAGTTATTATAACAATGTAATATAAAAATTAATGTTTTTTATTTAGGGTGATCTTTTAATATCTAGCGCAGTAACATCTAAAACAATGTATATTTGGAATTATCCTTTAGAAACCTGTGTTCCATTGCGCAGCATTAGTTCTGGCACATTAAATTTTGTACATTGGTCACCTGATAATACTAAAGTGTTTTCCTGTTCAACTAATGAAACATTTAGGTATTGCTAGTTAAATTAAATTTTTCTTTTTACTATTTAATTTATTATTATTATATTTTTTTATTTAATAGAATTTGGTCCACTGATAACTGGACTTCAGATAAGTGGTCTTTGAATAACCAGTCTAGAGTGCAATGTGCATGTTGGTCACCTTGCAGCTTAATTTTATTATTTGCAACAGATTCTTGTTCAATTATAAATGCTATTGACTTCCGAAAATCAGATGTGTTCAATGGATCAATGAATTACAAAAAAGTTGCATGGCCTATAATTGACATAAAAAGTGAATGTATAAATGAAAAAGTGTAAGTGGTGAATTAATAATTTGTGTAATGTATTAAATAATATACAGTTGAGCTTCAGAAGTCTAGTGAACGCAGTAATCTAAACGACATGAAAATATGTAAAAAAAAATTGGATTTCCAGAACACAACTATTTTATGAAACATGTTTTCCAACAACAATAATTTTATAAAGTTTTGTCTATTCAGAGAACGCACTTTTGTGTTATAATTTGAGTGTATTACTCAACACAAAAATTATTGATTTTTTTGCTAATACTTATTAAAGTACATTTTAAAATCTTAGACATAAAACATCCATTACAGTGACAAAATGATTTTTGATTCTGATATATTTCTATAATAATTATACTCCTAGATAGTTAGATATTATAAACAAATGATTGTTTGAATAATAATAATATGCCACTTATTTAGCATTTTATGTAGTAAAGAGATAATATTAGCTCTGTGTTCAATGTTTGTTACTTAATAATGTGATTTAACTTAAATTCTTAMATTTTTTTAAATTTAGAATCGGTGGAACACTTTCTGACATGTGCTGGGATCAAAATGCTCAACGTTTAGCTATAACTTTTAAAAACAGTGGGTCTCTAGTTGTATTTCAAACTGCTATAAGTGAAGCTGTTGTTGATTGTATTCCATTGTAAGTATTTAATTTTAGTTCTTAAAATGTTTTTTATTAAATATTTAATTATGTTGATTTTTAGTTGCATCATTCAAGGGCGGCTTGATGAAGAACCTTCTGCAATTGCATTTCAACCAACTTATGAAAAGGGGTCTTTGTTAACAATTGTATGTATGAATATAAATTTATTTCATTTAAAATCCATTATTATCTTTGTATTCATTCATTTTTTAGGGTTGGTCTAATGGGAATATTGAATATGTTCCATTTGAATATACTGCTCAGCCAAAACATGAACTTGAAATGTTTGGAAAAAATGTGCTTGGAGTAAATAATGATAAAAGTATATCTAGCCTACCTAGTATGTCAGCTACCACTAATTCACTTTTTGAATATTTGTTAAACTAATTAGAAATGTATGGTTTCTTTTTCTTAACATTTGTACTATTTTTGTAATTTTTATCCCAAGTTTAATATTAAATTAACCAATCATTATAATACAATTTATATTCTTACCATATTTTAACTAATTATATAAAATATATATATATTAATATTTAACATTTTTTCAACAAAACTTGTATATCAATTTTATTAAATAAGATAATGCAAGCCTATTCATTTTCTTGTATATGTATAACAGCATTATATTTATTTTAAAACGTAAAAGATAATTTTAATTTACCAGTTGATGTAATATCTTTTAATAAGTTAGAAAATATATTAAAGTCTCTTGAAAAATATTATTATCCTTTAACCTTATTATTCATATCAGATCTTAATTATATTCTCAAATATTGTGATTTAAAAAAATGTTTACTAATTCTACTATATTTTAGACATTTTTATAATATACCTATAATTATTTTTAATCTTAGCAAGTTACTTTATTTAAATTCAAATCATAATACTTGCTTTATAAATTTGTAAATATTGGATATTAAACCAATGTTTTCATATCTATAAACATTCAATGTTTAAAATAGATTAAGGGATTCCACACAAAATTGTTGGTCTAATTTATCCTATCCATTGTCATGATAATAGAAACTAACAATTAATTTCTTTATTCATGATATTTTACCTTCATCTTCTCCCTCGTGTTGAGTATATTTTTTTCTCTCAAGCGCAGTCCTAAGGTGTATAATAGATTATAAAATACTTAATAATTTTTAATTTGTGTTGAATGTTATTTACAAAAACTATAGCGCACAGTTTGAACAATATTTGTTAGACGAATACAATTTTACGAACAAAAAAAATCAATGTTTTTATTTTTTATTATTCATGGTACAGTTTCAACTGCTAAGGTTATTAGCTTGTAACAAAATTAAGTATTTAGTACATAGTAAAATATAGTTATAAAAATAGATTCTTAAATTAGATTATACATATCAATTTGTTTTAAAAATGTGATTATTTTGTTGGTGTTRTCATAGGTAAGGCTGAGGGCTTCAAAGAGGTTGTCGGGCAATTTTTTATTTTTATTATTCAGTTTTTTATAATGTATTATACCTGTGCAATTAACATAATCAAATTGTTACAACTCAGCCAATTTCTAACTTAGAGAAGAAACTCAGCCACTAAAATGCATTAAAAAAAAAAAACAAACACTTGAAATAGGTGAACTGCTGAAACCACTATGATGAATGCGTACCAAGATTAATAAAGTGAATCGGTTCACATCATACTTTCTACTAATTTTTCTCTACCTGTAGTCTTTAGAGTCTCTAGAATTGTAAAAATTAACTTAAGTCCATATTATTATAATTATTTTGCCCCCATTGAATTATTCAATAAATAATAGTTAAACATTAAATAATATAAGTTAAAGTATATCCAAAGCATATTATACATGAATAATACGTATTAAGTCATTAATGTCTGAATGTTAGATGATTGGTTAATGTTAAAATAAACAGAGTACATATACACCTGTCAGCAGAATATTTAATATAAAAATAGAATTGTAATTTATTTTTTATTTTTTGCTTAATATTTCTATTTTATTTTGAATCGTCAGCTATAGAAAATTATTTCCAGTATATTTATTATAATGAACTATATCACATAATTTTGTGGATACTATCATAATATCCATAACTATTTATTAGTACTTACATACTTGAGTTACAATTATTATTTACTCAGAGGCGTACCTAACTTAAAGACTGGTGTAATGGCGTATACATACATTTTTATGAATGATGATTAGTGGAAAAAATCCTTAACTGTATAAAAATATTAGGAGTTTTTAATTTTAAAATACTTATCAAAGTAATTTTCTTACAATGTAATTGAATAAGTATGATACAATTTGTTAGAACATTTAATTTCGAGGCAGAAACATTGATTAATATATTTTATAGATTTATTAAATCTTTTAATATCGCTATAAAATGTATCAGTCAATTATAAAAAGCAGGTAATTAAGTGGATGTCACTTTACTGTATAGTAGGTTACAAGCGGGTTACTGTAATGGATGGTATTAAATTTGAATTCAATGATATAATATTATTGTATATGAAAAACGATTCTGATCGGAGACGGTTTGTTAGTCTAAGACATGTTATACTTTATTAATTATATTTATTATATTGTTATAATTTCAAAAAAAATKAAGAAACCTATAAAATAAATTCCAAATTAATCAAATCAGATTCATTATGTACCCGACTCACTCAGCCATTCATAGTAGATATATGTATACAATTTATTATTAACTATTAATATTAGAATATAAAGTAAATTTTAGAAATTCAAGTATACCCACAAGGCCACGAATAATATTTTTAAATTACAACAATATGACTAAAATTTTTATTCTTGATTATTAAATATCTAATTATTTCATCCAAATTTGAACCTAAAATAATATCTAAAAATAAACTGTGTTTGTATACATTTTAGATTTTTTTCAGCAGATTTAACTTCTAACGTAGAACCTTATTTTAAATTTTCAATTCTTAGCTATAAAATTTAAATGTTTATAAATTTTTTACTACTAAAGAATTTGCAAATTTTCAATTAAATACATTTTTTTTAAATTTAAATTTAAAATGGTTATAAAAAAAAGTGCATATGTATTTTTAATATATTCCAACTGCTATTATCTAAACTTACTAGCTGAACCCGTGCACTTCGTAGCACGTTAAAAATCCTACTTCTTATGTCTCAAACTGTATTTTAAATTCCTTTCCTGTAGTTATGCTAGCAGCAGTCTCTAATATTGTGTGTAGTACGAAATTTAAAAGTATGTTATTCACATTAAACCTTTATAATAATATATACAATTTTAATACAACAATATTAATACACTATATCAGAAAGTTCTTCGACCACAAAGAATAAAAACAAACTATAATTTACAATCTTAATATAGGTAATTTGAATTTATTTTTATTTATTTACTGATAAAATGTATCCCCAACAAAAACATAACAGTGAAAAAAGGCCAAGTTCCAAACTCCCTCCCAAAAAAGTCGGCCTATCAAAGTAGTGAAATCTACATAGTGGCCAAGTCTGCTATTTTTTAATTCATAACCTCAATCCTCAATGCACCCCTACATTATAGAGCAACATTATCTTTTATTTGTATTGTTTAAGACTTGGTCAGTTTCTGAATGAGGAATAAACTAGACTTGGCCGCAGTGTAAATACCACTACTTACTATGATTCGCTGTCTTTTTTGAGAAGAAATCTAAACCTTTTACTTTTTTCTGAATCTTCTTCTCCCCATCGCCCTCGTAAGTCATAAGTGAGCACATTCGATAATG